GGAGCAACTGTTGAGAAGAACCCAGAAAACTTGAGAGGTCAAGTTAGATCAGGTGGGTAGAACAAGGCAGGCCAAGGCTCAAACCAAGTCTGAGAATGAGCTGAGCTGGACAGTTCAACTTCCCGTCCTGAACATTAGTAAGGTGCAGTGGTTTCCAGCAGGGACTGTGGAGCCTGGGTCAAAGCCTACCCAGTTCCACCATGTACTAGCTGTATAATCTTGGGTAAATTACTTAACATTTCTGGGCCTCAGTTTCATCATCTTAAAATAAGATAATAATATACTCCTTCCTCATGAGTTTGTAGTAAAGATTAGTAAGGCAACATTCTGTTTATTTTGACAATTTGAAAGTTTTCAGAGATTATTACATTTCTTCTTCTTTCTATTTCTGGTCAAAATTTTTGGATGCATTTTAGACACCTTTTGGGACTATTGTTGAAATACTAGGAATAAATTGATGCAGCAAATATTTTCCAGTGCTCAATCTAATAAACTAATACACTTCAACATATTTTCAAATTAGTAACTTCTGGATGGTTTAGATAGAAGTCTCCCCAAATTAAAGAACTCAGTTATGATGTAATACATGCCAATGTTTGGTTTGGGAGTCAGATAGACTTGGGTTTGAATGTTCACTCTGCTACTACTTATGATCTCTGTACCTTGAGAAAGTTGTTTAACTTCTCTGAGCCTTGGTTTTCTCCTAGGTAAACTGGGGATATGGGGGTCAAATAAATAACATTGGGCTTTTGTTAGGATTATATTGTATAATGTCTGTGAAAACATCTAGCTTAATGCCCAGCTCATAATAAGCACTTAATACATATATTTTCTTCTCTTGCATCTAAATCAGCAGTTGTCAACTGGGGGTGTTTTTGCCTCCCAGGGGACATTTCACAATGACTAGAGACATTTCTGACTGGGATGTGTATGCTACTAGCATCTACTGAGTAAGAAGCCAGGGATGCTAATGTACAACCCCAGGGCAGCCCCTATCCCATCAACTCCAACGAAGAATTACCTGGTCCAATATATGTGATTGCTGTAGAGATTAAGAAACTCTGAATTCTTCCTTAATTTTAAATTCATGGTGGTATACATTTGTGCCTAGTAGTACCCTAGTGATTACCTATATGTATTTTACATTAAATATAAAAGGTCCCAGTTCTATAAAATTAATACTAATGGTTAAATAATAGTCATCTATTGGGCACTTGCTATGCTCCAAGCCTAAGCTAAGACATATGATTTGTGAAATGCCACACTAAATATAAATCCTACAGCAATCCTGAGAATCAGTAATACAGATTTCTCTAAACGGATAATAATAACAACATGTTATGGCCAGGCGTGGTGGCTCACACCTGTAATCCCAGCATTTCGGGAGGCCGAAGCGGGCAGATTATCTGAGGTCAGGAGTTTGAGACTAGCCTGGTCAACATGGGGAAACTCCCATCTCTACTAAAAATAAAAAAGTAGCAGGGCGCGGTGGCGCAAGCCTGTAATCCCAGCTACTCGGGAGGCTGAGGCCGGAGAATAGCTTGAACCCGGGAGGTGGAGGTTGCAGTAAGTAGAGATTGCACCATTGCACTCCAGCCTGGGTGACAGAGTGAGACTCCATCTCAAAATAAATGAATAAATAAATAAATAACATTTTATTTTAATAATAACTGAGTATCAGGACAATAGCCTGTCTTATAATGTTCCTGACCTTAACAACTTGCTATCTTGCAATGTATATTGAATTCTACCTTGAAATACTCCCTCAATTTCCTCCACTTCTTTCTTCTCCCGCCACCATTACTCCATTTGGGCCACTACAAATTCTTCTGAATTAGGGAAACGCCCTCCTTATTCATCTCCTGCCATTGTACTTACTATCTCCTGTAAATCGGCCATTTTCTTTCTAAAATCTAATTGGGCAATAACATTCTTCTAAACAAGATCTTTTAATAGCTCCCCAAGGTCCTCATGATTTGGCTTTGACTCCACTCTATCTCCCTTCACTCCCCCTCACCTTCACAAACAACGCACTCCTATAATCCCAATAATCATGGTCCAAGGATGTTAATGCTCGTGGGAAAACTATGATTCTATAACCAAGGTCAAACTGCGGGGTTTATTAGTGTTCTTCCTATGTTAATGAGCAATGCAAGAGAAATTAAAGTCTCAGCTAATTAGTAATGTTCTATTAATGTGTGGTTGGCAGGTAACTGGAAGAAGAGAGAGGAAAAAGACATGATTTCTGCTGGCGTTCTTTTCCTACATTGATGTCAAGTGTGGCTACTATTAAAGCAGGGAGTAATGAGAGGAAGAACAGAAGGCAGCGAATTGCTGCCAGGAGGGCAGTGGGAAAAGTTAGAAAGTAACAAGGAGCCAACAGGAACACTCACCTTCTGGCTTTGAACGGTTTCTCCTACCCTGGGGAAACACGGCTTCTCTCATGACATAACAAAACCTTTGGCGAAATTACTAGTGGTCCTCCAGAAGGAGTGCTGGCATAATTTGGTGGAGATGAGTCTGCCAACAATCAGATGAAGAGCACATGAAATCCCTTTTATAGCTTCGTAATTTGTGAATGTTGCCAGTATAAAAACAAAGTAAACAAAATTCCTCAAAGAAGTTAGTTTTTAAACCTTAAATACAAATCTAAAAAGGCTTTTCTGAGATTTGAGAGGGGCATGAATAAAATGTCCAATAGGCCGGGCGCAGTGGTTCAAGCCTGTAATCCCAGCACTTTGGGAGGCCGAGACGGGCGGATCACAAGGTCAGGAGATCGAGACCATCCTGGCTAACGCGGTGAAACCCCGTCTCTACTAAAAAATACAAAAAAGCTAGCTGGGTGAGGTGGCGGGCGCCTGTAGTCCCAGCTACTCGGGAGGCTGAGGCAGGAGAATGGCGTAAACCCGGGAGGCGGAGCTTGCAGTGAGCTGAGATCCGGTCAGTGCACTCCAGTCTGGGCGACAGAGCGAGACTGCTTCTCAAAAAAAAAAAAAGTCCAATAAATCCTCACTAAGTCAGATGGGTTGGGATCCTTTTTCTGAATCTGTTAATCAATGAACAAAATATTTTTATTTAACTAATAATAATAGTTCCTGGACGGACGTAGTGGCTCATGCTTGTAATCCCAGCACTTTGGAAGGCCGAGGTGGGTGGATCAGCTGAGGTCAGGAGTTCAAGACCAGCCTGGCCAACATAGTGAAACGCCATCTCTACTAAAAATAAAATATTAGCCAGGTGGCAGCATGTGCCTGTAGTCCCAGCTACTTGGGAGGCTGAGGTAGGAGAATCACTTGAACCTAGATCCCAGGAGACAGAGCTTGCAGTGAGCTGAGATTATGCCACTGCACTCCAGCCTGGGTGTCAGAGTGAGACTCTGTCTCAAAAAAGACAAAAAAAAAAAAAAAAAAAAAAAAAAAAAAAAATTATTTCCTATGATAAGCTTTAGAAAACACACAAGAAAAAATTTACCATCAGGAACATATATTTTTGTATACGTAAAGTACTAAATACTTGATCAATAACTCTTTCACGAGGATCTTTTCCCTGCTAGATCCTGTGTTAAATAGCAAAGTTATCATTCTTACATTTAACTTACCTGCAGTTCTTAGAACATAACCGCTCCTCCTCTACGGCTCTACCATGTCTCATCTTCACAATGCAAATACATCTTTTAAATTTGATGGATGTTATAGAGTCAATATTTAAAAAAAATAGCAGTTCTCCTTACGGGGTACCAGAATGGTTTCTGATATACAGTTTAGCATTGAATACCCCGTATTATGTATACCGTACCTAACGGTTCATTTGAGGAATTTTGAGAGAGTACTTTTTACTATTTCCATTCATATGAAAATTTTGATTCTAACCTTAAAAGTAAAATGTGACTTCTTCACTATATTGTTAGGAGAGTAGGGAGGTAGAAAGGATAAGGTGCTGAAGAAACATGGTTCCTTTCCTTGAGGAACGCACAAAACTCTAGTGTTCAAGTGATTAACTGTACAAGTCAAAATAAGCATTTGGGATGGTCAAGAAAAGGGAGGTTCGTGAGCATAGGAGTTGTCAGGAAAGGCTTTGTGAAAAAGGATGAACTCTGAATGATGAACAGGATTGTACTGTGCCTTACCCTCTAATTGCAGATGGTGGCTGGTTGAGCTGTTCGTTCTGGGCCTGATCTGGCAGAGCTGCCTCCTGCGTGTATTCAGATTGCAGAACCCATAGCTAAACTGAGATCTGTTTACTAGAGGGGCAGAGAACCAGAGAAGAGGAGATGGTTATAGACGAGGCCATAAAGAAAGAGTCCAGGATTAGACCATCACTCAGGAAATCTGACTCGAAGTGCTGAAGCAAGTAGAAGTTTAGAGAAAATCAAGTAGGTCAAAATAGGGCACAAAGACAGTAGTAAGGTACAAGGAGGTCAAACCTTGGTTTCGACTGATTTCTGCAATTGAAAACTTACTGCGGCCGTCCACTCACGCATGGTTTAGTATGCCTTGCTGGCCTAGGGCTAATCCTTAAAAATAACTTCAAGTGTACCAAGAAGAAAAGACACACAGACAAAGGGAAATCATGACTCCTACAGATGCAGAAATGGCCTCAGCATAAGGAGGGAGCCCTTGGCACATGATAGTATTAGGTGGCGGATATGTGATGTCGGATCCAATGAGACTATACGGAGCAGAAGTAGAAGAAATATTGTTAGCACAAAAGAGCTAGGCCAGGTTGCAGAGGTTTTGAAAGCCAGGCAAGTGAGTTTGGCTAAGATGTGGTAAGAGAGGTTTAAGTTAGATAAAAGTATTCTTTTTATCACATTCTCCTCCAAGACAATCCAAATGTAACCTACAGCCAGACCAAAAGGTCACAAATAATAATAGCAAAAGTCAAACTTTTATTATCTTATTACAATTAAATATATTATTTTTGTATATCATGTTATCTATATTTATGTTATATATGCAGTTATTATAAAAAGTATATTGTTCTCTAACTCTCATTTTTAGCTCCATGGAATAACATTTCTAACTAGAAACTATTGTCTGACGGAACTATATCTAAACAACAATGCAATATTTGAGATAGAAGGTATGTCTTAAATTTTCTGTTGATTTAATAGATTTTCAATTAAGTACTTTCAACTATGGTAATTGCTAATGACATGCAAAAATCTGTTTTAACATTTCTGTTGAAAATATATTAAGGAATCTATTTTTAAATGTTTTAATGTACATTTTATATTAAGAAATGTGCTATTAGATTACTTTTCTAATTTAATATTGCCATGTGTCTTATTCAAAATTTAAAATAATTTTTAACAAGTATTTTAGACATAAACTAGACATGTGGAAGCAAATTTTAACAATAGTTGGGAGCATTGATAAATACAAAAACTTAATAGTCTTAAGAAATTTTATTGGCAGTATGTTCTACCAGCCAAATTCCTGCTTTCACTCTGAGTTAATTTTATATGCAAAACACTCTCAAAACTGATAATTTCAAGCCATTCGTAAAAGCACGTGGCATACCATGATCATGAAATACAGAGGTACAGTACAAAACACTTTTCTTTAATATCATATATCATAGAATAAAAATGTCATACATTTTTAGGCCCATCATGATTTCATGCACCACTAAGAAAGAACATCTTGCCAATGAAACTATGACATGGCTATCAAAAGACACATCCCACTTTCATTTATGTTAAAAATGTAGGAAAATAAACAATTTAGAATCTATGAAAATAATATGAATATTTGGTTTCCAGTTATGTACAGAAAATACTTAGCTATGCAATTTGGAGATGAGTAATTTTTCCCTTGACTAGCGTTATAAATCTAAGTAACATTGACAAATAAAAAAAAAAAAAAAATCCAAAACTAAAACCAAACAAAAAGAAGAAAGAAACCAAGCCCTCCAAAATCAATCACACAAACAAAATCATTGGTACATTTTAAAAAGTAAGACAGTCTGGTCAGGGGGGCTCATGCCTGTAATCCCAGCACTCTGGGAGGCCTACGCGGGTGGATAACCTGAGGTCAGGAGTTTGAGACCAGCCTGGCCAACATGGTGAAATCCCGTCTCTACTAAAAATACAAAAATGAGCTGGGTGTGGTGGTGGACGCCTGTAATCTCAGCTACTTGGGAGGTTGAGGCAGGAGAATCCCTTGAACCCAGGAGGCAGAGGTTGCAGTGACCTGAGATTGTGCCATTTCTCTCCAGCCTGGGCAACAAGAGTGAAACTCCATCTCAAAAAAAAAAAGTAAAACAATAACAGTGGAAAGAAATTTACTCTGTATTCCCACATCACAATTAATTGTATGAATTATACCTTATTGTATTCTTAATAATAATTTATAATATATTATTAATAGTTATTCCTTCTTTATCCAGCTATCATATGTTTTCCTTTTTAGTTAGCATGTTAATTAGCATTAAAAATGTTTAGTTTTATTTGCAATAAAAATATTGAAAAAAATGTTTAAAATCTTGTAAAAATATTCTGTTTTTTTTTTTTTTAGGCCTGCATTGTTTGCCTTCATTGAATATACTCCTGCTACACCACAATGAGTTAACCAATATTGATGCAACAGTGAAGGAATTACAGGGAATGCTAAATCTGAAGATCCTAAGTAACAATTTGCAATTTTATATGGCCATAAATTAAAATAGTATTAACATAAGACATTTTTCCATTTATCAAGTTTAAAATTAGAGGAACAATGTTAGTATTAGGTGGCGGATATGTGATGTCGGATCCAATGAGACTATACGGAGCAGAAGTAGAAGAAATATTGTTAGCAATTATGTATACCGTACCTAACGGTTCATTTGAGGAATTTTGAGAGAGTACTTTTTACTATTTCCATTCATATGAAAATTTTGATTCTAACCTTAA